GTTCACGGTCCAAGAATTTCTATGGTCAACCGTCAGTCGTTTGAGGGTTAGACAAATTAAATATACAACTATCCAATTATTCTTTCAGATTTGTTGTATTGCGATTAAAATTGAGCAAGCAGTGCAAGCGAACATTTGGTGGCACAGGGCGTATGAGTAATTACTATTCACTCATTAGTGTTGTAAGCGTATATACATTTAATTCACAATTTAATTTGTAAATTGTGGCGAGTTTAAAAGTATACTCGTACTGTGCGATTTACAACCGTTACACACGTCAAGTATAAAATTATTCATGTTTTTTTTTGTATACTCTGAACAGGGTATATTAAGTTTGCCACGAAGTTTGTAACACCCAGAAGGGGACGGCGAAGATCTTATCATATATATATATCAGCCAGATCAGACTATCAGCATGACGAGCTGAGTCGATTTAGCAATGTCTATCTGTCGGTGCGTCCGTCTGTCTGTATGTGTGCGTACAAGTCCCTCAGTTTTTCAGACATCGATCTGGTCTGATTGCTAACTTAACTATCAAAATCAACTACTTTTATGGAAAGCTTTTTTAATTTACGAAATATCTTCACAAAACTTGATACGGATAATTGCTTAAGGCAGCGGTTCAATCTCCACAGAAATTTTAGCATATAGCTGTCATACAAACTGACCGATCAAATTCATATTTCGTATATGAGGGCTAGGGAAATGATGTACTGATTTCGAGAATTTTCGGTAAGAACAAAATGGACACCAAACTAAATAAATAGTCAACAGAAACACGAAGTTGATTTTCCGGTGAATCTTCAATATTTTTATTAGGTTATGGTTCCCAATCATAAATTTGGCGCTTCTTTGTTAAAAAAGCCGTTCATTCGTTATAAAAAATATAATATGGCATGGTAATATCGCTTTAGATCGTTATATTAAATAATACAAGGCACAACGTAAAGTGACATAAAATAAATATGGGTAACTAAGTAAAAAAGGAACAAAATTTGTAGTTCTCGCAACATATTCGAGTGAGCTGAGCAGCTTCTCAGCTTGAGGTGCATACTTCTTGAACACACAGTTGGGCGGTTTTCGCTTTACTTATTATTTTTAATTAACATAAACTGAGAAAGTAATATGCTTACGCCATCATGTTGAAGAAATTTTAAATATCAATAATATACATATATTCATTTTAAAATCCATCTAAAAATTGGGATTTATTTTAAAAACTCACTTTGTGCAATTAATTTATAAAAATATAAAAAAACTTTATTATATTTCACAGATTATATGTTAAATCAGGCACATTAGTATATTTTTACGAATTTTCGCGAATTTCCCTTTCATTTGAGATAAGAAGAAGCTTTTAGGAGAAAGCTAAAGTTTTGTTATTGGAATATATAAAAATGGAGGAACGTGTTTTGAAAGTTGTTTTTTTTTTAATTTTACTTATTAAAGAAGAACTCCAAGTTTGTGTGTGTTATTGAAATGTGTGAATTCTAACACAAATGCGGCACGTGCTTATCGACTTTTTATGCCCTAATTTTATTGATTGGCCCTTATGAAACGATGGAGCACGATATATAATATATATACATAGGTATATATTTACGAGTGCACACATGGTGAATATACTTGAAAGTTGAGAATATTGCATAATAATAAGATTATCATTAGAAGGAAAACGAAGAACGAAATTAAAAGTAATTTTAAATATTCCATAAATGGAAGGAGGTAGAGCTTTTTAGGAAATATTTAAAACATATTTACTTTATAACAAACAAGACAAGCCTATTGAACGGAGAGCTTTTTAAAATAAAACAGGATTTACATTTAGAAGAGAGCTCTTTGGACAAGACAAGAACGGACCTAGTGATAACCCAAGGTTCGGACAATTATTTTTTATTTCTTCATAGAAATATGTATGTGTTATATATAAATGAAAGAAAAAAATGTATATGTACTTATTATTTTAGTAGTTTTTATAGCAATATAAAAATTAATAAAAGTAAATTTATAGAAATTTTTTTATAAAAATCCGAAGGAGCCGAATTTCATAAGAAGCACATGATCATGTAAACTAAATGGTCTACAAATATGTATAGGTATGTGACCTTTGCCAAACACTATTTCGTATCAAATTGTGAATAATACCGTAAATTCAATGTGATCTCTATAGAAGGAAATGTTCACTAAAAAAATGTTTAAACACGCTACATAAATATCAATATAACCTCTCTGTGGTTCCGCTGGTTATATTAATATATCCCATAAAAGCCTCTGAGCATATTGTGCATTTTAGTACTGATATTGCCGGCAAATAATTTCAAAGCATTTTCTATTATGTAGGTAAGATAGGTATTAATATCATATGCATATATATATATACATAAATATATTTCTATATATAGTACCTATACATAGTTAGGCATGTGAAATGTCGTGTTTATTATTGTTATTGCTATGATGTATATGTATTTACATTTTTGTTTTGATTGCTATTGCCGTCAGGCCCCAGGATCCAGTCACGCAAATTCCAAGCTTATCTGCCGCGAACAGTGTGGTAATTTATTTATGAACTACATACATGACTGTTTGTTTATGTTCATATATACATGTGTAGCTCCAATTATCTAGATTCTAGAACATATATCTATACAGATACATTCACATATATATGCATGTACATAGGCATATGTGCCTTGATAGAAGCGTATGCGATTCCATGCAAAACAACTATGTTTATGTATCACTACACGGAAATTCCCAAGCACGACACTTTGATTCCTTTATTATGGCCCTTTAGTACAGACATAAATATGTAGGCATATACGAGTATGTGTATATAGTCATATTTATGCACATAGAGATATTTAGAACGTACGTATATTTTCACTTTGACACGCACATTATTCCCTAACCGATTTCATAGATATATGTCTAGGTATAATACATATAATATATATTTATATAGGGCACAACACTTATGCGAGTATATAATATGTATATATATATAACTTTTAAGGTATTACATATCTACACATAATATTATGATTTCCCTGCTCTCATCTGTTTAATATTTCCTTCTACTAACTTTTATACTTTTTATACATATACACTTTTCAGACTTTTATATTGATTTATATACTCGTATCTAATACATGTATGTATGTATGTAACTATAACCCTTTTATCGCAATTTTTTGCGGTATATTTAACGACCAATCACCATTCACTGCACTCCACAAGTTATACCGGCTATTTTCACTACGCAATGTAAATAAACGCACACACACATACGCACGTGTTATGTAGCAACATTGCCATATCTAAGTATATACGATGAGTGTTATAACCGCATACCGCTCGTGTACCGCACACGTCGAATGTTTACAACGAAATGACTTCAATGCCACAGGAGCAAAGTAACATTATCCTCTATGGTCATGCTCGCCAAAGATTTCTTTAAGAGAGATGAAGTGTACTCTGCTCTCTCAATTGGTAAATTGTGGCGATTTTTCCCCTTTCACCGTCTCTACGGAAATTTGTTTTACTCGTTTGAAAAATTATATTCTTCGAATTAAGTATTTTCAAAGCTTCGAAATTCAGTTTTCGAATCGGTTGTACTTTTCCATCATCAGGATATAGACGACATTAGAATACATTGAATATCTTTGAGGACCTTTCGCCAAACCGAGTTTAGATTATTCCTGAATGCAAACAAACCCATTTTACAAGTATTTTCGAACCTCTTATGCTCTCCCACTATTTGGCTGTCATTGCCATATTTGTAATTTAATTGGTTACAGAGATACAATACGTATTTTGAATTAAACTGTGTTGTGGGTGTAGCAATGGCCCAAATCCACTCATTAGCTATATTAATCTATTAAGTTGATAATTATTATATAATATATAAGCACATATCAATGTACCTCGATTATTTAACAGGATTACGAACAACCGTTATGTAGCCAAAACTTTATGCAGTATTTTGCCTGTATATAAAAACCAGCAACAATAACAATTATTCGATCAGCTGTTATAGTACAAACTCTCATACAAGTTGCTACTGCGCAGGCGATAACTTTCGCCACTCCATTTACATACGCTCTTTTATAAACACAGCGTTGTTCTCTTTACTACACAGCAAGCGAAAAACTCACGCTAAACAGATTTCATTGACTAAAAGGAAAGATGTTCGAACTTGGAATTTTCGCAGGAGTGTATGTATATACATAAGGGTGGCCGTTAATTTTGAAATAAATTTTTTTATTTTCTATTTAAACCATGCCATTTACTTTTACCTGCCTACAACAGGATATTCTAATAGAAAATAGTTTGTTATACAAAATATATCGTTTCATAAAACACAAAAACTTTAAACGTTATACGCATTTAAAGTTTTGTATCAAATGCACCGTCATACAGTACACCATGTCGTATGAGCAACACAGAATTTATAAGGCACTTACATACATGGTACGTCAGACAGCCACTCTACCGATCTACCTTCATATGTACATGGTATGAATACTCAGTACAGTAATACCCCGAACTTACGCGATAGGTGAGTACGAGCGATTGCTGTCTAAGTCGTATTCGCGTAAGTTGGGCTTCAACATAGGATGTAAGTACATATAAAGCATGTTTAATCGGGACCAGAGATCTTTAATCTCTATAAACAATTGTTTAGAAGAAATTTTTTTAATTAAGTGTAAGATAATAAAATAATTTACATTGTTATGAATAAACTAACCTAAACTGAAGTTATTTTGATGTCGACGGCTTCAAATATTCTACCAATGTTGCCTGATGATTTAATTGTTTCTTCTACTCACGCAACGCGGTTTTGTAGTGTGCTTAAGCTGGATAATGTTTTTGAGGACAAAAACTGAAACTTCAAGAAGCGTCTACAAGAAATCAACTTGGAAAATAACGGACACCCTAAAATGCACATATGAGTGTGTTAAAGAGTAAAAAATGCAATTAATTATTTTCTCATAAGTAATTCTTTGTAATTTATTTAGTAAAAAAATACAAAGCAAACGGATTAACTTAAAGATAAGAGATTTTAACTAAAAAAACATAACCAATTAGTTAGTATTTATAAATATATGTGTGGTTGTTGATATTCAATTTAAGGCAACGAATTTGTTTCATGAAATAATCGCACATATTTCTGTATGTTTGTATTGTTGCTTTTGTTTGATGGCTTGCTAATGTAACCACGTAGGCTGCTTAAATTAAAGAAATATGAACTATTTATGTATGTATGTATGTATGTGCATAACACTGTGTACAACCACTTTTGGCATACTAAGAATATATGTATGTAGTTAACACATCAAGTTGCAGCAGTATAACAAAATGCTTATTTTCTATAGCTTCTACAAATATATACTTTCCCTAGATCAATTACAAAAAAGTATATATTTCTTTAAGCAATAACATTATTTTAAATATAGTTACAGTAAATCAATTGGAAGCAAACACAGCTTGCTTATCTTGCGTAATTATTTAAATATTTCTTAGCAGTTTGTTGTTATTATTTCGGGAAGTGAACGTTGACACGTGACCGCCCGCACTAAGTATTTCTCTAATGAAATTAAAATGTATTTACTTACAATTAATAGAATACAAACAGGTAGATAGAAATTGTTTAAAAGAATTTTAAAGAGTGCATATTTTTTTTTACAACTAATATCAGGGTTATATATCAACAGTTTAATTTCTCTTCGTTTCATGCCATACATTTGTACGTTTGTGTAAATAGTTTGAGTGGTGTTTTTGTTTTTTGTTTTTGCTTTTAAATAGTTGGGTTTATTTGTTTGTTGTTTTGTTGTTGTTTACAAATGTACAAAATTTACAAATAAATTCATTGTGTAATGGTAACGGTAAAAACTCACAATTTTTATATATGTATATATATCAGCTTTAACTATGGTCTTCTGCGTTTGCGTTAAATTCATTTTGTTGTCTTTTCATACATATACAATAGCTATGTAACTTATTGTTTCGAATACGGTTTTTTCTTTCATTTCGTATATAAAGTAGTTCAACTTATTTGCAATAAATGACTGTGGCTTCTATTATCACATTGCTTATTAGCCAACAATGCACGCTGAGAAATGACTATATACCACAAACGCTAGCTGCTTGTGTGCAAGCATATTTTGTTCTTAAGTTTATCATTTTCAAAACTTTATATATACATTCAGTTCAATAATGTGTCCAGTGCTTGTTTATACTAATTTTCTTCACATGTCATTGCAGCTAATAGGTAATCATCAGTACTACGCTGAATTATATATTATTCAAGCACGGATATCTTCATATATATAAATATGTATATATATATATATATATATATATATTATAAATTTAGCAATTCAATAAAAAAAATATACGTTATACAAACTAAACTTAATTTAAAAAGTATATTTAATAGAAAAATAAAGATAGGATCCTGTGTTGCATACTTATAAACATAACGGTATTTCAATTTGGAATTGTTTTAGCATACAACAAACTATATATAATATAAATCAACTACATACGCCACTATAGATAGAAGTTGACCACAATTTATTGCGTTTGTTTTCCATTGTCGACGTCATGCTTTGTTGGTATTCGCCCCACCGCCCGCTTTATTAGCGCTCATTTTCGCTTTGACTTTCTGCAACAGCGCTTCAAAGGAATCTTCCTCCTTGGGTGGTGCTTCCACTTTCGGAAATACAATCGAATGATATGTATTAATGCCGGCATTATCTGTTAATTATATGGAGCGATAACGCATAAACTTAAAAAAAAAAAACATGTAGTAGCAACAATTTACCTAAATCAGCGTATGAAGAGCGGCAAAAAGCACGCCTGCCGCCGAAACTAATGTCGTACATATTGATTGTGGGATCTCGTGCACTACTATCTATAACGGTAAACGCGTCCTGTGAACGCTCGTATGTTACAAAACCGTATTTCATGCTGTGGAAAGTATGTAAATAAAGAAATTTTTTGATTAATTTCGAGTTGACTATTTTTCAGCTATAATTGCTTACCCCGTGTCTTTGTAGTGTATCGAAATTTGTTTGATAGTGCCATAAGGTAAGAATTTTCGGCGCAACATCTCCTTAGTGGTTTCTTCTTCAATACGTCCCACATAAACTATGCGGCGCTCTTCAACAGCTAAAGCAATGAGAGCATAATAAAAATAAATTAATATCATAAAACAAACTTAAAACAAGAAACGTTAACTTCGGTTGTACCGAAGCTATATTCTTCAGAGATTGTAGAGATAGAGATAAAGACATACAAACTCTTGATTTGGATCGGTCAGTTTGTTTAACACCGATTCCTACAAATGACCAGTTTCTTGGGAAGAAAAGGGTGTGTGCAAAATTTCAGATCGATATCTTCAAAACTGAGGAACTAGTTCGCGTGTATACAGGCATACAGACTGACGGTCATGACTCCGTTCCCACGACAGTCGAGTCTACGTAACCGGAACGAAAAACGCTACAACAACAACACTTAACTATGACCGTTGTTGTTGTAGTGCCACAATTTTGTCGAGTTGACAGCCCTTGGCCGAATCAAAATCCGGGTCCATTCCGGTTACGTAGACATTAATATCGTGGGAACGGGACGTGACTAAATCACCCTCGCTCGTCACGCTGATCATTTAAAAATATATTATATGGAATCTCCATCGTTTTCATCTTGTTGTTACAAACTACGTGCCAAACTTAATATATCCTGTTCAGGGGATAAACAAAAATAATTACCTGGCTGTGAAACATTATTGCTGGGGAAATTCTTGTTTCCACCTGGCTTTCTGAAGCGGCTGCTAGCAGCTGAAATGGAACGCGAGCGTGAACGTGATCTGGAATATGAACGCCGATAGTATGGACTGCGGCTGCGACTACGATTTCGACTGCGATCAGATCTATCCGAAGAAGATGATGATGAGGATGCCGATGAATTACGCGCATATTTTTTTGTACGTTTCTTGTAGCTGGTACGCGGTTGGCGTTGTGTATTACGCGACATACGCCCCGACTCAGAATAGGAAGAACTTATGGAACTTCGATGCCGACGACTACTTCGCGACGAATATCCACCGGCCATATCACACTGACGTGCATTAACACTACGTTCCGTTGACGACGCCAAGCTTTCCACCGAACGACTACGCGAACGATTAATTTGACTACGACTACGATTGCGATGGCGATTATAAGTGCGGTCACACGAAGCATCACTATCGGTATCATCTACAACGGCTTTGCCGCCGCTATGCTTCCGATAATTTCGTTCAGCACGCTGCTTATGAGATATTGGCGGCAGACGCGTAAAGCCTGGCTGCGGATCTGTCTGTATGGCCATACTGACTGTACGTGGTCGTATTCTATCTTTGCGCAGATGCATAATAACCTTATCTTCGCCATGCTGTTCAGCTTCTTTCTGTGTTTTCTGGCAAACCGGTGTTGTGACACCATTCGACAAATTGGACTTTTCCGGTCCCACAACCTTTTGTACAACAACATCCTGTATGCTGGCAATCAATGAGCTACTCGAAGGTAGTCCACTAGGCATACTATACAACAATGCAGATGATTTTAAAAGTGAGCGTTCGCAAGTATTAATTGGTAGCATATTAAGCGGTGGTATACTGATATCAGTATTACTGCCAGCAGATACGATAATCAGTTCCTCATAGTCGGAGTGTAACTTTGAGCCAGTGCAAGTTTCATTATGACGGTCTTTGCCGCCACAGTAGGTGCCCTTAACAATGTCCTTGAGTGGTGGTAATTTTGTGACACGCGGAACTTTGGCTGATATTGTGGAATCTATAATTTTTAATTGCTGAGCTCGTTTCAACTCCTGCATGCGTAATACCTTATTTTTAGCCTCGGTTATAGGATCGATAGGTTGTTTTTGATTATTCTGATTTCTAAGCGTTTTCACAACGGTGGTTACTTCCTGACTATGTTTCACTTGTATGCTCCATGCACTGGCTTGAGTTTCTGTTGACGCCGTATTGCTTTCAGTCTGGCTTGACATTTTTTTGTCTCCTCGTCGCAGTTTATATTCTTCTAAATTCAATTTACGTTTGACTGCCAATTTGGTACGTTCTCCAACTTCTCCTTTTTCACTTTCGTTGGGCATGACTTGTTTCTCTTGCACAGTAGCCTGTATTATATTCGGGTTTTCTACTGCTGCTTCTGTATTTTTATTATTTTCTACTTTACAATCATTTACTGAGAAATTTTGTGAAAGCAAAGCCAAATTTTTACCGCCTTGACCCACACCCACCCGGCATGTAAGTGAACCAGCCTTGGATGCATTGCCTGTTGTGGCTTCTGGTCCTTTCTGAGCAGAGAATTTGCCAACGTTCTGCTTCGAAGTTGACTTATTTTTATTTGCGCTAGATTTGCCTTTAAGTATGTCACATTGGCGCTTGTTTGGTACAATTGTGAAGTTTCGTGTATTTGACGCATTATTTGTAGGTTGAATTGGAGCAATTATTGTGGTAGTTGGTCGCGGTTTTGTCTAAAAATAATTATTTTGATAAGTACATATAAAAAATTGTATTACGGAAGTTATTACCTCTTTTGGCATATTTTCCTGCTTTTTTGTGGGTTTTGGACTCCAGGACGGATCCGTTTTTACATTATCCTCATATGTGATATCGTTTACAACATTATCTTCTGTTGCAACAGCATTTCCAGTTGCCATTTTCCACAAAGATTTTTCCATATCTACATCTACAGTCTCAATATCGACAATGACATCCGATTCAGCATCGGAATCTGAGTCGATATTAGTTTTAACAGGTATTGCTGCTAAGCGTTTTGTTTGTACAGCTGTATTAGTCTGTGTTACATTATTAATAATTTGTGTATTCACTTTTGGTACAGTTAATGTTAAATCGTCATTGGTTATAAATTCCGCTAAGTCGAAATTATTTACATCTACATCGGAGCCGATGGTGTTCGTGCTCATAGTACGATTTTTATTGCCTGCTGCAATATCTTCCAAGGGTAACTGAAAGCTTGTGTCTAAATCTATACCGTCAGCAGCGAGTAGACCTACTGTTAAGTCTGGAATTTCATCTACGCCTAATAGCAGTGCGTCAGGTTTCTTGTCCCCATTTATATCAACATGCTGATTGTTTATCATGTCTCCCGCAACGTCTTCTTCATCTGAACTATCATCATAGTCGCTTGTATGTGATTCATAGTCACCAATCGAAGAACTATCAGTGCGCGTTCGAAAGGTGGCTTCACTGTATTGACTTTGATTATCGTCGAAGTCTGCATAATTCAAAACGATATTTTTGTCTCCGTTGCTTGACAAATTATTATCATCGTTTGAATCCTCTGAATCTGAGTCTAATGAGTTTGGATCGACAGTAATGATTTCGATACCGCCATCCGCGGGCAATTGATGCTGCGCAAAATCATCATAAATCAGCTGAAATTTCGCACACAACAAATTTATTCATAATAACTTAGGCCCTTTTTTTATTTTGTTGTCTGTGCACCTACCAACTCTTTATTTTGGAAATTCGTAACAACATCTCTTTTATTTGCTATCCGAAAAGTTTCTTCTGTTGCGAGCATAGCGTTATTGTAAATGTCAGCATCGTGCTCAGCATCTGCAGCTATGGGCAAAATTCCATTCAATGTCTCCGTAAGTTGTCCCATTGTGCTGAATAAAAACAAGTTAAGTTAGTTTATATTTGTTACTATTTTTACAATGTAAAAATTTTTTGTACTTACTCGCTTTCACTAGACCAAAAGTCTGTATTAAGTTGTGTGTAACTGCCGTCGAACGGATCATCGTGAAACACGTTCAAAAGCCGTGAATCCATTTTTTCGCAAATTGTAAATGAACTGAAACAACAACAAAATTATATTATTAATATTTCAACATTCATACACTTATGCATATATAATATTTTTTAGAGAATAATTGTTGACTATTTTTATACGTGGGAACACAAACATGTCGAATGGTTTTTTTTATTTAAGAAGAGGTTTCTTATTTTCCAACATGCCCTTGAAGATTGTTATATTACTTATTGAGACTTTTATTGTAAAACTTTTTTTTGCCTAAAGTTTATTTATTTTATTTTACAGGATAACATACAATAAAATAAATCGAAATGTGTACATACACATATACAATGTTGGAGAAAATAATAGAAACAACATCCACTGACTGGACTAGGATTTTTTTAATGCAATGCAATGTCCAGCGACTCCACTCATCTAAGACCTTTCTCGCTATGGTCCGACCCCGAAATCTGGGCGTACCTTTAGATGACTTCGGTGACAACCACCCCGCACATTACCACCCAAGTGGGGATTTGATAACCGCAATAATAACAACAGGATTTTTTAAAAATTTGTTTCGAATTTTTAATCTTAAATGAATGCATAATATCTCAAAAACGTTAGAGATTGGAGCAAAATTGACGAAGTTATGAGTATTTTTATACCTGTCTTATGAACGTTTTTTTTTTTAATATTTCCGTATATACAAAATTTACAAAATAACGCTGGAGTTTTCATTTTTAATTTGTATATATGTCTCATTATACAATAACAAATTAACTGATTTTTCACAAAAAATAGCATTTCTTCCTTCAAAGTGTTCCTAAAAAGTGCAAAACTAAAATTTAGAAAAACGCGTTCTACAAACAATCTCATTTTATCGCTGTAATATTTGTATCTCTATATTTATCTTCAATAATTTATTTTTCAATATCTCTCGATCTTCTCTGTTAAATTCACACAACAAACATATTTATATTTCCGCATAAATATATTAGTCATGAATAAGTATGTACTTAATAACTGAAAACACGTGTTTGTTAATCGTTATCGAGATAGTAAACATGAAATTAAACCCTAGGCAATACATGGCAGAAATTTTAGTTGCAGTCTAAATAAAAACAAATATCTTTAATTCATGTGGCATATATTACTTGACACTCTAAAACTCTTGTGCTCAGGTGTTAAGCATGCAATTCATAATTTATAACACAAATTATCGTTTTAGTTGTGACTTCATGACAATAGACGTAGTAAAATTAAGAAAGGTTTTGGATTCTGTCACCCTATACCCTACTTTTCTTCCGACTTCTTGAAATCAAATAGTCATTGACACTATGAGACATGCCAGAAAAATAAAGCAAAATTATGTGCCATATATACAATACATATAGTTCAATAGTATTAAATGGAATGCGAGCACATAAGTTTGTGAATGCAAGCGTGGCAATACCTACCACAGGTAATATAATCATGGGTGTTATATAGGTAGGTAAAAACATATGCACATTTGTATGTATGTCATCGAGCAGCGCTGAGAGTTTGAGTTAGATAGCTTTGTTAGCATGGTACCGGTGAATGTTCGAACCAACCATGTGCTTTTGGCGGAGCAGCTGTTTGTATGTTTAAATTTGTTTGTATTAAAACTTGAGCACATATTTTGCTTGTTTTTATTGTAGTAGGTAAGTGGATATATTCGTATATTCTTGTTAATAGTTTATTATAAATATAGTTTTTATATTTATTTTGCATTTAATTAAGCAAATAATATAAGATGTAAAAGATATCACACAAAAATACGTTTCAACTATAGCTATATGGTGAGATTTTATGCTTTTTTAGTATAGCAATTATCGTTGACACGTTGCATTATTTTCTGTGTGATGGAGTTTCAAAATTTGTTTTAATCTTTATTTTGTACATATATTTGAAAAGTATTTCCGCTTTAAGAAAACAGCTGAAATTTAATTTAATTATTTAAAAAAAAAAGGACAATTAAAATGTTTCAAAATATTACTCAGTACATATTATATTAAATTTTTGTATATATTATTGGCAACCGTTTGTTTAATTTATTTTAAAAAATTATTTGTTAAAAAAAGTGAAAAACCAAATTGTTACAATAATTGTTTATTAACAGTATATTCTGTATTGTTCTTTATTTTTTCTTTAAATAGAAAACCTTTGTAATGCCGTTACTCTTGTAGCCTCCCCCATCTTTAACTTTGGTATCATTCCAAACGTTCCAAATATGATTTTTTTTCATATTTTAAACGTACCTCTATTTAAAACCCCGTTATGTTGTACTTTAAACTTAATATTTTATTTCTAAAAATATTAGTTTCCTTTAAAAACTTTCTTATATTTAAAATATCCCATGCGATTGATATCAATTCAACAACGTGCTCGCCAGTGCTTTTGCTTTAGTGCTTAGCTTCCGCGCCCGCTTTCGAGATTTTAACCTCACAATGCTCTCACATACCGGCGAGATATAAATATTTCTGTTACTGAATTCACTATTTTAGATTTTCAATTCAATAATTTGCAGCTGTATATTTATTTTCAAAGGTTTTATCAATTTGCTACAATATGGATGAAACACACGGCTATTAAACGAACAAATTCTTCACGTGGCCGCGCGACAGCAACGGTGGTTAATTCACTTGTATTTCGATGTTTTAAACAAGGCGTTTTTGACAGTTGCTTCACTTCTCTTCACACACACACAAACGTAAATGCGCAAGTGAGACATATGTGAATATCACAATATCCCATAATAATTTCTTGTGCAAAACTGAGGGGCAATGCCTGTCCACGTGTGTGTGTATAGAAAATCGCGAAATTGCACAATTAAACGAAATGTCAAAATTGTTTGAGGTAAGCACGTGGAGAAATAAGATTTGACAAATCGAAAAAAATGCTGTGTTCCGTGTGCATTATACCACAGAACGTTTATGATATACGTTCTCTGATACGTTCTCTTTTCAGAGGACTACATTCACTGAATATATAAACAACTTCTATAAAAACAAGGAAGCCTAACTTCGGGTGTAACCGAACATTTTCACTCTTGCACATCGTAAAGTTTTATGTAATGCAAGCGTCGTTGTAATCCATTTTCGCACTGTCATATAGGAATAGCAAAGGAATATTACACACAGAATTTGGTTAAAATCGGTCGAGCAGGTCCCGAGATATGTGATTTCCCCTTAAAGTGAGCGGTGCCACACCCTTTGTCCAATTTTGACCGCGGTTCCTATAGTCCTCCATGAAATCTCGGAGGTAAAATTTTCTGTCACTGGCGTATTTAGTCATTGATTTATCGCGCTTTTAGTAGTTTTTAGTCAAATGGAGAGTGGGCGGAGCTATCATTTCATCCAGTTTTACAGTATCGGTAGGGGTACTTAATGGATTTATTCTGTGGAAATTTGGTTATTTTAGCTTAAATGGTTTGGGAGCTATGTACATTAAACCATTGCAGGTGCCCCTACACCCTACTGTGATCCACTGTGCCAAATTGTTCTATATCTTAATTAGGTGATTAGGTATGGCAATTTATAAGTTTTCGATCAATGGCGTTTTGTATATTCGTGAATCCACGAATCGTGCAACAAAAACAAACCGTAATATTTTTTTCTGTGTGAGTAATAGACTTACTTTTTATTTATTTGGCAAGTTATTAATAAAATTAAAATTCGATGAAGACCGAAAAGAGGGTTGGATAGTGAAGCGGTACCATGCTTTGTAGTCTGTTATTTCCGTCCAAAAAGAATTCAGACGGGATTTTGGCGGCACTACCCGAGTAGATGGACCTTTATGAGGTTGGTAAACACGTTTGCCGAATCTGGAAGTATCGCAAAAAGACCGTAACATCGAGATCCGTATGTTTGTGTGCAAGAAAAAGTTGAGGCTGTTGCATCGTCAATTCACCTGTTTCCGTACACAGTTCAAATAATAAGCCGGTTAAATCCTATAGATTTGCCTATTCGCATCTAATTTTTCCAAAATATTATTGAAATGGTCGAAGAAGACAATAACTTGATAAATTGCCTGTTTATGTCTGATGAGGACTATTTTGATATAAACGGAAATGTAAACAGGCAAAAGTGCCGTATAAAGTGAATCAAGTTCAGAAATAATCCACGAGACGGAACTTCTCCCAGAACAGTTATTGCGGACCTCAAACAAAAATTTTAAACGAATTAATATCAAGAAACTCCACATTCCGCTGGCCTCAAGGTCACCCGACCTGTTGTCACTAGACTTATTTTTATGGGGTTATGTCAAGCAAGAGGTGTACAAGACAAAACCTACAAATCTGACTGAATTGAAGCAGTCCCTTAAATCGATAATTAAGGTAATCCCGACTTCAACCCATCAGGTCGCAATGAATAATTTTCTAATTTGGTGTCGCATAAGCGTGGCTGAGCATGGAGGTCATTTACGGTCCACAATTTTTAAAAATAATTAATTAAATAAAATAAAATTTGCTATATAATAAGAAAAAATACCTGAGATGCATTGATTAAAAAAAAATGTTATTACGGGTTGTTTTTGTAACATGTATCGTGAGCCACCCTACACTTGAGAGAAATAGCGAGTTTGTTTTATAAAATATTTGTATTTAACGGCGATCTAAGAAGACCGTTACAGTGGTTCATTATACAATCAATGTTTTACAAAAATATGAATCAAAAAGTAAATTGTTTTTAAGGTTCTTTCAATTTGTTGTAACTTAAAGTGTTTATTGATAGTATGGACGGATAGAAAAGGTCCTCAGGATTAAAAAATGTATAAACATAAACCCGCACCTACAAGTAGTTTTTAAGATATTTGTATTTGAAGTTCAAAAATTGTAAAAGTATTGCACGCTACTTCACTATACTAAACTACTATTCTGAGGCGGGTATTTCTGTATACATTTTTTAATCTTGAGGAATAATATAGAGGAGAGTCCATAACATCAGATCACGGCGCCAAATAAATGGTAAATTTCCTTTTTAAAAAGCCAATACCAAGAGCAGAGAATGTAGATTATATTTTACATTATTTGTCAAGAGTCCTCATTTTCTATACCACATTATTTATAAGTGCTTACAAGTTACACATTCCTTCCACTCCCTCAACAGCTGTTCGTTGTATTTCCATTGGTTTGTTATTATTGCGACAATAACCTATTCCTTTTGCAAAGTATAGATTTGTGCATTTGATACTTTTAAAAATAAACATAAATTTGTAATAGTTTGCATATGAGGATGTGAAAAATGCAACGTTTAATTATAAGTAAGTCGATACTCCGCAATTTCAAGTTGAACTTATGTAGGAATATTTAAAGATCACAATTTTAAAATAGTGTTGAAGCAAAAGCAGACATTTTTTTACTGCAAAGCTACGCGTATTAAATTCTACAACAAATTAAAATTATTAATGGAGCGTTAAAATCACAAATGTTTACATACACAAAGTCAACAGCTGATAGGCAATCATGTTTAGACATGTTACTTGTAGGATTGCCAGAAAAGCTTTTAACTTTATGCTGTTTTGCATGCGTATGTGCCAATAGGTATTCAGAGAATTCTCACGTCAGCCGAAAGTGCGCCCAAATGTGTATTTGAAAGATACATTTTGGCGCGTTTTTACAAGTCTTATTAATGAAGTGTGCTAGATTAGATGCAAACCGATGTGAATTAGTCGTGACATTCTAAAAAAATAAAAAATAATCATCTTTGTATTTCTGTATCTGTCTATATTACTTTTGTTGTAGAACGTTTACTAGGAACTATGACATCACTCAAGCCAATTATTGCTGCAATCCCGAAATACGGAGTTGGCACACAGCCTTTCACCGTCCTAATTGAAGGCAATATTGGAAGTGGAAAGACTACATTCATCGAACATTTTCAAAAGTTTGAAGATAAAGTATGCACCATGACGGAGCCGGTTGAGAAATGGCGTAATTTTAAGGGATACAATTTATTGGTTAGTAAATCTCTAATAGACTTGTGGGCGCAATAAGATATTTAATGGAACGCTCTTTTTAGGAACTAATGTATACTGATCCGAACCGTTGGGCAATGCCGTTTCAATCTTATGTGATGCTGACAATGTTGGAGCGGCATACCATGACTACAGACAAACCAATTAAGATCCTCGAACGCTCTCTATACAGTGCAAAGTAAGTTCACATATAAATGCATATGTATATTTGTTTAGTGCTGAGACAATTGATTTTATTAAAGGTACTGTTTCGTTGAGAATTTACACAAAAGTGGCCTTATACATGATGGCATGTATGAAATATTGAAAGAGTGGTATAATTATGTCGAAGAGATTACCCACATACAAGCCGATTTAATAAGTAAAACTAAGTTTTTTATACATATAAAAAAATGTTGCTAATTTGGGCAATTTTATTTTTCCAGTTTATTTGCGTACAACGCCTGATGTGGTTTATGAACGTATACGAAAACGGGCTCGTTCCGAAGAGACATGCGTGCCTTTTGAGTATATCAAGCAGTTGCACGAACTTCATGAAGACTGGTTGATTCGAAAAAAAGTGGGATGTAATATTAAAGTAAATACAAACATTATTCAATCTTTTTATTAGAACAATTTTTATTTTAAATTCATACTTTTTTAGGTACTAGAAATTGAGGCAGATTTAGATCTCTCTGAAATCGATCGAGAATACAAACGATCGGAAAATGTAATTACAGCTTCAATACAACAACAAAGACCAGCAGTGACGACATCTCCCAGTAAACGCTCAGATTTTTGGGGTTAGATTAATTAACTAGCATTTTAGCTTAATTTCTCAACATTCTAACGTATTTAGCAGTTGTAATCATCACTAGTTATATTTTCTTCATACTTTTTAAAATTGCAAACACATCTATTATAACTTTAATGTAAATGTATTTATACTATTATAGACATGTAAGAATGATGTGCATTTTAAGTTAAAATATATATTTGACTAGTATAAATAACAAGTGTAAAAATTTTTGTTTGCCGCTCAATAGAATTAATTGGGGTGGCCTTTGTTTAGAAACCAGTAATATGTGTTCCAGTATTGTAGCGGCAGAAAATATCTTAAGCCATTTAGAGGAATGCTGCCGAAATGATAGTCCATGGCGGACTAAAATCTAGGTATGTTCCAGTTACGTAGACCCAACTGTCGTGAGAATGTTCACATAGTAACCGTCTGGTCTTAGTATACGAAACGGATACCGAATTTTATTCAACCTTTTCTTTCTTTTATTTGGAGAATATTTCTGCGGATGCAATAATAACTTACAAGAATGTCTAGAAACTACCACAGAGCTTGATAACACACTCCACTTTGAATAATTGTTAAGTATATATAATCTTGTTGATATAAAGCAGGTGTTACTATATAAAAATGTTTTAATCATTACAGTGAAATTAAATTAAAATCTTTATTTTGAAATGCAAATATTTAAACGAAATTATACATTATATTCTTTTGTGTTATTTTCTCATCTACTTTTGCTCAAAGTATTTTGTTATTTATTCGGGGGAGGGCCATTCATCATAGGTGGTCGAACACCTAAAGCCCCCAAGGGCGGTGGTGGTCCCATCATTGGCCCCATCGGTCCCATAATTGGCGGCGGTCGCATACCCATCATTGGCGGTGGCATAGCTCCGTGTGGACCCATCATCATCGGCGGCATGCCTGGTCCACCGGGCATCAGACCTGGACGCGGAGGTGGCGCCATATTTGGAGGGGGTATCGCAACGCCCGGATTTTGTGTAATCTTACCAGCTTTAAATGCAGCTGTGGTAGCATCGATCAAATGTTGCGCTTGCTCCTCCATCCATTTTTGATAGTAGAATTTAACGTTGTCCCTGTGCTTTCGTCCGGTGCAATGTGTTTTTCGCACAGATGGAGAATCGTGTGTTAAATATGTATCACAATAATCGCAATAATATTTCGGCATCTTATTTCCTTTTATTTCACAGAAATAGTAAAAAAGTTTTCAATATTTTGACTTCTGTGTCATTTACAAAACTAGACTGAAATATTGTGAAAAAACACAAACGAAGAAAACAAATATTTTGCTGCTTGTCAAAATAGTTAAGTTGTATGTAAATGGATTCAATGCTGAATGACAGGGTTGTATTTTGTATTGAATTGTTATAAGTTTATTTGCTGTTCACACAAAGTAGTAATGACTACTGAACATCTGCAGAAATTTAATATTTACATGAAGCTCGGCCTTATTATATCATGCCACGACATCAGTGTTAAAATGGGTACGGTGAGATAAAGGAGATTCTCCAATTAAAAAATAATTGTAGCCGCTGGATAATTGGAGTTTTTTTTCTTGTAATATGTCAATTTATAATTAATTTTTCTTTTAAATTATGCACTTATTATACACTAACACTTCACTACATTGTTTTCAGATATTCATTTTATACAGTTATCTTAATATTTGTATGTATTATATATACGCAATTTATTTTTACACAATTTTTGTGTGATGGAATACTTAAGTTCCCCCTAATATTTTAATAAATTTACTAATATTTATATGAATATTTAACACTCTGTGTATGCGCAATGTGTAGCAACCCTGTGTCCAGTTTTACCTTGGTATGTCCAGTTTCCAGTCATTTCACTAATGTCAAAATCTGTCATAATTGTGAAAGGTCTATATTGCTCACAAATTATTTTCTGAAAGAAGCGAAAAGTTTTCAGTCTTTTAGACGTTTCTAAATAATTATTACAAAATATGAGTTCTGCCAAAATGCTTAACTTATCCAGAGTAAGTCTAAATGCTGCTATTCAGTTGTTATAATTAAAACTCACTTGTTATAAATGGTTTTTGCATGTGCATTTTGCCGTCATTACGTAAGATCAATACGTTAAATTGTGATAGTGGTTTTCGGAATATATATGAAATAGTGTTTATTTGGAAATATAATCATTTTATTTTTTTAAATCCTCTTATAGGTTGTCGTTCGTAACCTAACCACATCTGCTCCACGCCGTGTCGCATCAAAGAATGAAGTAGAAAAGGGTTACTTCGAATTGAAGAAAGTGCAGGAGCACTTTCAAAAATCCGATGGCAAACCAGTGTTCCTTAAGGGATCATTTGCCGATCAACTTTTGTACCGTTTAACCGTCGCTCTCAGTTTGGCCGGTATTGGTGGCATGGTGAAATTGTTCTACGATTTGAGCGTTCCCCAAAGCCAAGATTAAATGCGTAACAACAATGGCTAACAACGCATCTGTAATTAATGTTTTAAATTAAGCTTTCAAAGTGTAAAAACATATGACTAACTTGGATGTATCTGTATGTTTCCTTGTTTTGTGGTAAGTGTAATTAATTACAATACAACATAGCTGTTTACATAATATGTGTTTTACAGTTGCAGAATGGTGGAGTAGTGCAATATCTATTGTCTTAACTATCCATAAATGTTTTATGTTAAAGATTAAACATTCACATAAATGCATTTAAAACATGGAAATATACGTAATACAAAAAACACAAACAGTTTTAAATTAAGCAAGAAGTCGACAGTAGGTAATTTATCATTAAAACTAGATGTATTATTGTTTTCATTATATCCTGAATAGAGTATAGTAAGTTTGCTACGGAGTTTGTAACAGCCAAAAGGAAACGTCGGAGACCCTTTAGAATGTATATATAAATGATCAGCGTGACAAGCTGAATCGATTTGCGCATGTCCGTTTGTGTGTCTGTATATATATGAGGGACTGAAATTTTTAACACGTTCTCTTCTCCCCAATAAGCTCTTATGTCGGGACTGTCGATTTCGGACCGCTATAGCATATAGCTGCCGTACAAACTGATCGGTTAAAATCAAGTCCTTGTATGGAAAACGTTTTTAGCACAGATTGTTGCCCAATGAAACGTTACAATCTTCAAAGGAATTTTTAATATCGGACAACTATAGCACGTAGCTGTCATACAAACTTCTTTTTAACGAGATATCTTTACGAAATTTGATTAGAACAAATTAGAAATTTGTCACAGATTATTTTCCAAAATGTGTTCAGATCGGACCAATATAGCATATAGCTGCCCAACAAACTGATCGGTTAATGGTAAGGCTTCGCTCATACTTTCTCTTAGTTTATTAACCTCACGAACTAAGTTTCGGAAACTATATTTGTAAAAAAACACTGTGGTTTGCAGGCTATATGGCAACTGTTTTTGTTAGGTATTGAAATTATATTGTATGATAGGTATTGAAATTAAGGTCAAATTCTTTCTAAACATTTCAAATAAATTTTTGTTTTCGTGCCGCCATAACTTGATTATATATATAAAGAATAAATCTCTTGAAAAGGATGTTCAGATTGATTTATGTAAGCAGAGATGTAAAAATTATATATAACAATATTCGATGCATTTGAATCGATATATACATACATATGTTATTGTAGCCTTCATTGTGCCGTTGCAACGGCCGCAACTTATTACAGTTGACGGCAAGATTTGCTAGTGGCCCAGGCAAAGTGACTAGTGGCACCTCTTGTGGTCCAAGTCCAGGTCCATCCAAGAAACCGAACCCAGGTTTAGAGAAAATTAGGCAAATGCAAAAACTTTTCCAAAAGGACGATGGTAAGCCGATACATTTGAAGGGTGGTAGCCGAGACCTAATGCTATATCGTGCCACATGGGGACTGGCGATACTTGGATTGCTGTTGCAAATTCATATGTTCGCAATGTATATAATTTATTGACATGTGTAATTTTTTTCTTTTGGTAAACATTAACTTATTTTACATAAATACAAAAATGAGAAAGCGAACACTCATTATGCTAGCAAACAACTTCCTAAATTAAAAAAAAAAAAAAACATTTTTCTCAATTACTGTGCGCTAACTTATCATCAGTGTCCAGTTTGTCGATAACCTGCTTTAGACAGTCTTTGGTAGAAATATGATCCAGATCGCAAATGCGTGTCAGATCCATTGTGGCGATCTGTTCGATCATCTCCTTTATGCGTTCCTGCTTTATAATGGATTTAACTGTTTGGCGCGCTGCAGGTAAATTTGCAGTGGCAGGACGTTTATCAACTCTTTCGGCAGAATTTTCAACTTGACGCCCCTTTGCGCGATAATGCTGTTCGATTAATTGCCGTATCTTTTGTTTCGTTGCTAAAGTTTTTCGATTCATCTTGCCCAGCGCCAGATTATGCAATTCATGGAAGTTTATATCCTTTGTTTGCTGCTCAGAAGTTTCCTCCGATGGTATGTCAGCGTCAGACTTTTGGGCGGATGTTTCTTCCAGTTCGTGCACTTCAACAGGTTTTTCAGCGCTACGAGGTTGCATTTCTGACTTTTGAATATCAATTGGTTCTTCGAAAGTTTCATCGTCCACAACCTCTAATGTCCAGTCCTCTACATAACCATCCTCGAGCGATGCCTTTGCATCGACTTTATCATAAAGTGTGCCATTCACTTCTTCTGTAAATTGTAGTGGGTCTTCTATAGTGTCATCTGCGGCTTTTTCTATGCTATGAAAGTCTTTTGGCAAGTCTTTTGGCATTTCATTGTCTTTAATGTCTTCAACAACTTCATTAAGAATGATTTCCACGGTTTCGATTTCGTTTGGCTTTTTACTTTTCTTTTTCGCTTTTTTCTCGTCTTTCGTCTTCTTTTTAGTTTCGACAATAACAGGAGGTTTTATTCTCTTTAAAATAGCTAGGCATGGTTTGGTTTTAATACGTATGGGCACTAATGAGCTGTACTGTATGCCAATATTATTGAAACAATCGACAAACTCTACAATTTCAAATTCTTTCTGCAGTGTGGACCATAGCTGCACATTGTTTTTATTTTTTGCTTCCACCAAGAGATGTGTATAATAACGAGTCTGCTCAGCATCATAAGTTATCGATTCGTTTTTACAATAGCTGAAAATGCAAAATAATTAAAAATATTAAACACAGTTTTGTATTAAAATTTAATTTTCAACTGACTGCCAATCATCCCGAATTTGTAAAAATCTTGAGACTCCACTTTGTGCCGCTAAATTTGCTATATGTACGGATGCATTAGGCGTTTGTGCTTCCAGACGATGCAAACGAGTTAATGCCACACCACCTGGATAGTTGGTACTCGATACAACCAAAAGGAATACCGTTATAAGTATATTAATTAGTAAATGCGCACCAGCACAAAAGGCCAGTATTTGGTGCCACACAGATTTCCCGCTATTGAGCCAGCTATAAAAATTGAATACAAGTGCATACAAATTATTAAAAGAACAACATGTATAGTGTAATCGTTTACATACAATCGGCTACAAGCACAAGCAGCCGCCAAATTAAGCACAGGGAACACGTAAACAATAAAGCGCAACTCTTTGTGTGGTAGGATTGAGTAGATGAGTACAAATGCCAAGGCAGCAAGCACTAGCGGACGTATACGTCGTTCCAAAAAAATACCTATTGGCATCAAAACAACTGAAGCGCCAAGTGCGCGTGGAAAGGCTGAATAGAAATACCATAAAAACGGAGAAATCTGTAAGTCAATGAAGTAAGCTAAGGAAAAAACGATATAACAACTGCACATGAATCCTAGTAGATTTGAAGTGCTACAAAACGAACTGTACATAAAAATATTGGCAAATTCAAAATTAACTTTCAAAGGATACACCCCAGTCGGAGCTTTTATTCAATATAGTGTTGTACCACAGCACTTCACCCTCCGGCCACAAAAAACGGCGCCAGAAAAACGAGTCCAAAACAATTGTTGTGACCAAAATAGCTAAACCTGCGGGTAATGCTATTTTTATTACGCTGTAAATGTATTAACATATATTTTTTAAAGATAAAAGTTTGGGTGGATTGTACATAACGATTTGTAGTGTGTGTTTGTTAAGATTACCTGGAAATGGTAACTTTGCGAAAAATCACGTCATATGATAGCAGAAGTCCCAAAAATATTAAAAGTTCTGAACGAAATATTAAGATTGCGATGCCGGAACATATGATGAAGGGTTTCGTTTGTCCTTGTAACCAAAAGGCAAGAGCATACAGCACTAAAAAAGAGAAAAATAAAAATAAAGCAAAAACATAACACCTTACAACTGGCACCTTACCAACAGGCAACGCTATAACGTTAGGCAATGGTCGACTCATATAGAAAATGAAATGAAACTGTGTCAATGTGATTATAGTAAACCAGAGGCGGACATCAGTGCCAAACTGTTTGGTTATAACACGACGGAAATTGTGCCAAGATGCAGTTACTACAGCGGTTAACACTAAACGAACTGCAAGTGAATAATAATTTAAATTAAAAAGCAGTATATACATACATATTTTGTACATATTTACCAACATACTGCGTCCAAAATTTATTCATGCTGAGTGTTTCAAATAGTATCACAAACGGTGTGGACAATATGGAGATTACAAGCGGTCCGAGAAAGGTGCGCGGTACTACACCGGGGAAATCATGATGATCATACTGTGCGAGGTAAAATATAATGCAAATTACTTTTAATAGTAATATTTTAGATAACACAACAAACCTGCGTAAAGTTTTGTCTTAAATAAAGTATATCATGCATAGCTTGCAGATTAAAACTCTCCTCCACTTTGGTAAACGGCGTGTAAAACAGATGCGCCGCAGCCGTCAAAAATAACAGCGAATCCATGTTAGTTGCTATTGTTTCTAATTATAAAGATATGAAGTAAAGGTTTAAAGCTAAAATAAGTTGATCAAATTGCAATCCGCAAAAAGCGTCGTTAACGGTGCACGTATTGATGATCAATTAACTGAATTACATAATGGCATATTATTCACAATTCGATTTCCGAATTTTCCACTATGCTATGTTCATAGAAAATTTACGATTGCGTATCTTTGCTGAGTCGCTCTACCATGTAAAGCGGCACCTGTGCACAACGTTAACTCCAGGAAACTCTCTTAACACTTTGCTTTATGTTTCTCCTACTATTTGTTAATCTAATGTTTCTCTGACATTTACACTAATACGCTGGCGATTAACAATCACGCCGATGTGGTGTTTATTGCCATTTTTCCAATATACGGACTTTATTATTCTAAAATTAGTTTTTGTCAATTCCACGTCGCTGATGGTGAGTTGAATGTTGTGCATCATTTTTGTTGTTGCCGCGGTGAAACAGCTGTTTAGCAGTGGGTGTAGAGTTGCCGCTCTCCGCTTGTGTGAAATAACTTCGGTGGGTTAATATGAAAGTAACTTCGTGAATCGGAAACGGAAGAATATGGCTCTGAACAAGAGGATATGAACCTTTTAATAAGGAAAGAAATTTATACTCTCCATATTGATGAAAAGGGTCGGCTTTAGAATAACGTCCCACGCTTTCGGGGATAAAACGGGTATGGGCGGATAGAGGAGATCCTCCAGGTCAAGAATATATATAGATATAGCCGCGGGAAACTTATAGTTTTCGAGATATTTACGTTTAAAGTTGAAAATTTGAACTATTTAAAGTACGTATTTTTGCGAGTTAAAATGAATTATACACTTATATTTTTCACTTTTATATCCACTAACACTTGACTAATTCGTTTTTAGAAATTTTTTTTATATTAGATGCTGCAGAAATAGCTTTATTTCAATATTTAAATCATTCTTTAATTTTATTAATTTTGACAATAACAAAATGGTTGTGAATGTCAAAACATCAGTGTTGCCATACTAATATATTTTGCAAACGAAGAAAAATAAAATTAACAGAGAGATTGTATCCTAGATACGGGAAACAACGCAAAAAGAATTTCTGCGCGTAAAAACTTTGGTACACTCCGGTGTTGGATCGACCAGAGTTATTTTTTTTTTAAGCGCGGCCGAAGGCCGCCAACGCAAAAATAAGTTCTGCGCAAAAAAACCTTGATACACCCCGGTGTTGGATCGACCAGGGTTATTTTTATGAAGCGCGGCCGAAGGCCGCCAACGCAAAAAGGAGTTCTGCGCAAAAAAACCTTGATACACCCCGGTGTTGGACCGACCAGGGTTATTTTTTTGAAGCGCGGCCGAAGGCCGCCAACGCAAAAAGAAGTTCTACAAGAAAAAAGTAATATTGTCATAGAGGGTATAACATAATACTTAACATCAATGCTTTGTAATAGTTTATTTCTCTAGGTTTTGGATACCTGTATTTGGGGTATTATCTGTTTTAATTTCTTTCAGTTCAATTACAAAAGATGTCGATAAGGTAACACTAGTTATTTGAAATTTTGCAACCCTTTTGTTATTGTCAGAATTAATAGAATTTAACAATAATTTAATTATGGAATTAAACTATTTTTGCACTATATAATGTAAAATAAATGTGTACAAACGAATTAGTGAAGTGTTAGTGGATATAAAAGTGGAAAATATAAGTGTATAACTCATTCAAAATGGGAAAAATGCGTACTTTAAATAGTCGAAATTTTGAACTTTAAACCCAAATATCTCGAAAACTCTAAGTTTCCCGCGGCTGAATCTATATATATTCTTGATCTGGAGGATCTCCTCTATCCGCCCATACCCATTTTATCCCCGAAAGCGTGGGACGTTATACTAAAGTTTTCCCGATGAAAATTTTGGAGATATTTACAATATTAATTTCTTTTATGTGCGCACTTATCCGCATACAAACATATGTACTTAAGTTATTGTATTCATATATACATATATATCTATTTATATTATTATGAAGTATAATCAGAACTAACCTAAATAGGCATATGTAACCTGAACATGTAAAGTAGTACTCATGAAAACAAAAATTAAAAATTAAAAATTTTAGGAATCTTCACCTTATTTAAAGAAATACTAATAGACCAGTTTATATAAAGTTTAGCAAGATAAAAGTATAAAAATCATAAAATAATGAAGCACATTGGAAAATAAAGATATTATAAGTATTAAAGAAAAAATAACTTACGGTTGATTTGTGGTCGGGAAGAGACAGGGGAGGGCTGGTTTAATTTTTAAAGGTCAAAAGCGGTTTATCTTGATATCCGGCAAAACTACGAGTTCTATGAAAAAAAGTTATATGGTAATGAAATGGTCTACGCTCGCAAACTATTTTTCTTTCCATTTTTGTTATTTTATCTTCCTTTTCCACTGAGTTACAACCTACTGTAATTTTTTTTTGCTTATCACTATTTTCAAAGGCTTCTTCACTGGCCTAAATTTAAACGGCATTCAACACATGAAGTTTTTTTTCTAGGTTTTATTTTTTAATGATGCTGCGTTAGAATTAGTTCCGTTTTCAAAATTCACTCTTTCAGGAAAATGGATAAAAAATTGTTGTTCAGAGAAACCGCAGCAGAATTAAGCAGCAACATTTGCTGGTCTTTTATATTTTTCTACGAAAATTGTACTAAACGATTGGCCTCGGTATTTGCAAGGGTATTTCCCCTTTACTGAATATACCCTTTTGCTTTGATTTTCTAGCTGCTTCACTTTTACTGCGTGTGTGTGAAAGTACGTGTGCGCAGCACCGAAGTGTTAATGACGAAGTTGAAGTGTATTTTATTGCTTAGCGCGCACATTTCGTATTTAAATGTTGCGTAACGGTGTAATAGCGAAAATGGTTTTAGAAGAATATGTCTGCAAATATAAACAACAAGAAAGGACAGATACTTATAAAGAGATACAAATACAAAATACTTGTTATATACGCATATACCTATGTATTGTACATATATATAAATGTGTACCCATATATTTCTGTACTTTTTTATATAATTTAATATACACAGAAGAAAATAACAATCTTGATAACAATAAGAAATTGTGGAGAGTTTTTTGATTTTAATAAATGTTAGATCGCCCACGAAATAAGAATGCAAATTAGAAATGCTAACGCTTGTAAAACTCAAGAATTGTATAGATTACTTTGTTCAATATCATTTTAAATTTATTAACAATTTTCACTGCGCCGTCCAACGAAAAACTTCTCATCTCAAATCATATTTAACCTCAGGGTTATATTCACTTGCAAGTCAGAAAAAAGGGCTTTTTTGTGATTCTTTTTGTTTTTTGAAGACACTTTAATAAATAAATTAAACAAGTTACGAAGTTCGAAAATCTTTATATTAGGTATATAGTGGCAAAAGAAAATACTGATCCGGTTCAATTCATTTTTGACATGCAAGCATCACATTATATAAACAGAAAAAGACTTTTTCACAGATTGTCCAACATTTTCGATAACAAGTTCGCAATAGAAACTAGGGTCCACATATTCGGTAGAGGGAGCCGATTTAGCTCATTTTCCCACTGTAATAATTTGACACCGGCTCCTATAAAGGTTTTTTGTACTATTTCGGGTGTAAGATTTTATGCCTCTGGCGCATTTAGTTGTTAATTTATCGCGCATTTAGTAGTTTTAATAAAACCGTTATATGGGGTTATAATCCGATTGTCGGTAGAGGTTCTTATGGGATTTGTCCTTAGTGAATTTGGTTATTGTAGCTTTAGTGGCTTAGAAGATATGTACATTAAACCGATTATAGGGCGAGGCCACACCCATTTTTCCAAAATTTTTATACCAAAGATGCTCCGAACAGACAGACTGCTACTCGGATTTCAATTATATTATATATTATATTCCTATGATAATTACTTGACAAATTTATCTAAGAAGGTCGTGTGAAAATTTGGAGTCGATCGGTCCAGCAGTTACGGAGAACTTGTGCTCACCGACTCTGAAAACTACGTTTCGAGAAAAACACATTTAAGGTTTTCCCGAAACTATTTGGCGGATCAACCTAAAATTTTCGGATAATATTGTCAAACTTATGTACATTCGATATACATATGTATATGCAAAAAATGTCGAATTTTGAAATTCACTAATGAATATAACCCTTTAAACGGGTAATGATGAGTGCATAGCTAGGAAATTCAACAGAGACAAAATGGCAGCCTTTATTATCATATTAGCGACGATCGACATAAAGGCGGTGTCATGTGTGCACATGGCTCCATGTTGTCCACAAAATAATAGGAGTGCTTGTATAAACAATATATTTGGTTGCAGAACTGGAGCACATTGTTTCGCTCTAAAGAATTTAAGAATTGTGCTGGGGAATAAGTGAATATTCTCTGAATTTTTGGATTCGAGGATTTTACTCCTTTTTATAAAGTTTCGGCTTTTATATTGTTCAAATCTCTCCTGAATCTGTGTCTTTCAGTGGCCTGTGTATCTTGCTACCAGTATCTTTATTCTCTAGAGGGGTCTACAAAATGCCTTAACCTTTCATGTTATTATGGCGCGGTTCGATTGCCAGTGCCTGGCTCTGCTCAGCCCTAAGTTACTGGAGAATAATGCTATACAATTTTTTCTCAAACAGCAAAATATAATTTTTAAATACCTTTGCTTAGTCCTCAACCAGTTCTTTTTTGCTTGCAATCTCTTGTAATGAAACGTTGCTGCACTGGAATTAGCAAATTATGCTACAAATCCTAGAATATTGCTCCAAATCCACAAATACCTCACATTGTGTAAATTTTAAATAAAATGGCAACAACAATTTGTTATCTTCCGCAACGAAATCATAAAAGCCTTACCGCAGATATTCTTATATCCAATAGTTCCACCTGACTTAACGCCGTCAAATTGTGCATTCTAACTAAAACACTATAGAAGATGGGAATAACTAAGGCCAGTGAAGCGAGAAGACTTTATGACAACATGCTCACGCTTAAAAATTAATTTTAAAACCATTCGAAATTAGTTAAGAAAATTTACGCTAGTACATGCATAAATACATATGTACTTTTTGTTACTTTTACAAAACAGATAAGTGTGTATGTGACAAATCGCGCCACAAGGTAAAGGGCGGCGGTTGGGTGGATTGGAACGGTTAGTTGATGGCAGAAAGAATTGTGTTTCATTAAATTTTATTTATAGTAAGCAATTTTATGCATCTAAAACGCGTCTATCATCGAATATCACGATGCGGAAAAAGCGTTGAACGCTCGAATCCAACAACCGCAGCCAATTTTCGGCGAGTTCAACGGGCCGGCTGCTAGGCAAATGATTCGGGTCCAATGTATGGCAGCGTGTCGAATCTACGCATCTATAGTAACTTTGAAAATCATATACATATGTATCTGTAGAAAACATATCTGTGTTTATAATCGTATGTGTCCGACGTCTGATCGGAGCAGCTTGTACTTTCACCATAGAGTTTTTGTATCTATCGGTTATGATGCTCTTAAGCTACTATTTCTTCCTGCTTGATTCGCCTATAATTTTATTTGATTTCACCTTTTCAAACACACAAAAACATTTACATA